TATACGTTTAAAGTTCCATGCGACTAGTGCCACTTTTTGTTCTCCAGCGATACAGTACTTTGGAGTCAGACACAATACAGACACACACCGCATGATACCCAAACACACACGCATGCACACACACGCACGCACACACACGCATGCACACACACGCACGCATACACATACAATGTATGCTAGTCAGAGACACACTGCACACCAATACGGAGATTCAATGTAGCTTAGGTGTGTGCGTGTGTGTTTCAAACGTATAGTATACGCTAGTGCCCGACAATGCAGTGCTCTGCTGACTAAGATCGTAAGGAGTTATGATTCTGCTACGGTGATTCCAACTAATTGGGCTCTTGGCTGCCAAGCACGGTGAACCCCTCAGCACATAATACTCATACTGTGCCTGTCTGTGGAGTCAAGGACGGTGAAACGGGCGTCACATACAGCGGAGTGGATGGCGGAGCGGCACAGACCTTTGACTGTACTGTCAGGTAGGAACCAATGCAAGTCTACATTGTACAATGTACGATCATGTAGAGTAGACTAGGAGCGATGGAGTATAGAATGCTGTGCTACTTGTGCGATGAGTACAGGGAGGGTAAGTACGAGTGATCAGTTTGAAGGACGGGGTATTCCCACGTGATAACGCCTGTCACACAGGAGTGTCGGCTCCTTGTTGCTCTCGACTAAAAATCGCTTTACAATAGCGTAGGAACGAAACATTAAGAGCCATTTTTTCTCTGCACTGTATTGTTTTTACGTATTGCATGTGCATCACCCATCTCCCTGCCAAGACTAAGAGCAGAGAAGAAGGTGGGAATACATCACTTGAAATCAACCGAATGGAACCTTTCTCTCCATACTGCAGCCCTACAGCATTCTAGCAGGACTTGCAAGAGCACTTTGCCTTTGTTCTAGGAGTCAAAGAGCGAGACATGGGAGCTGTCAAGCATGAGGAACTCGTGTACGCAGCATGCAGAGGAAACAACAGTCAACACCGTCAAACTCCGTCAGGTAGTCTCAGCCTTAGTCAGCGTAGTGCTTGGCCAGCGAGCAGGGTCGTTCACGCGGGACAGGAAAGTCGCCTGGCGCAGGAGCGTGGGCATTGGAGCGTTACCGCGCTTATAAACCTCACCGGCCAGGGCTGAAGACACAGCTCCAGAAGATCACTCATAGTGAGACTCTACTTCTCGAAGTACAGCCAGTAATCCTGCTTTTTTGTGCCATCACTTTCGCTTCTATTCCTTCACTGTTGCTCAGGCTGCACTACGGGAAGTGTCTGAACGCCGCTCGCCACTGTAATTCGCCGGGCGCAGAAGCCCGATAAGCGCTTTCCTCACTGAACAACTGTCGACAGATCCAGTGTGACTCTGTGAGAGGAAGGAGGCCAGAGCGAGCGTGTGCAGTGCGTACTCAGTACTATCAGCTCGATCGCAGTGATTTTCTGTAGTTTTCTGTAGCCAGCGGTTTCATTATGTCCACGAAAACCCAGAGCCGCACAGCCAGTGATTGTGCTGGGAAGGAGACGCGTGCTGTCGTTGACGAGAAGAAAGCGCTGCAACTTGCCAACACGCGGAATTGTGGCGCAGAGATGGAGTTCTCAAATTCGTATGGGGATCCAGTGTCGTATGCTACCGACTCAGTCACCAGAGAGTGGTTCGTGGAGCTGCCTAACGGCAATAATGGCAAAACCAAGTATCACGTCACCGTTGCTGATTATACCTCCGTCAACCCCGACTCTCCGCGCATCATCATTGGTGTGAATGGCGTTCGCTGGTCTGTGGAGGTGCATTATGGCTTCTCTGCGTACCCGTTGTGTGGTCCTCCGTGCACGTACACCTGGCAGATGGACGGCAACACGTTCGAACTGGCGCTAGACGCAATCTCGCTGCACACGTGGCGAGGCGGCCTGCTGCTGTTCGTGAATGGGCGAGAGGCCAAGACCCAGCACTCGAAGCAGTTCTTCTGGTTCAAGCGTTTCATGGTGCGCGCCGTGATCGGCATCCTGTGGATCGCTGCAGGCTTGGCGATACACTACGCCGCCAACAGACTGGCGAAGGGTGATGAAAACTTGCACCATATTCTCATTGTCATGCTCTTCCTGGGGCTGAGTCTTATCACCATGGTAATGGTTCTACCATGCGCCATAGGTCTCTCCTACCTTGTTGTCGGTTGCCTTGGAGTGTTCAAATTCGGCCTGGCCAACGTGATGGGACACAGCGACGACCAACACTCACCCAGCCACAGTACGGCGAGGAAGGCAGAGCTGAAGAAAGCCAAGGCACAACGGGAGAAGTCCAGGCACTGTTATGTGATCTTGGAAGAGGAATCCCCCTACGCAGTAACTGAAATCAAAGTCTGAACGATTCTTCATGGTTCAATATTCAGGACATGGAAGACAAGTCCACCGAAAGACATAAACTATTTGAATCTAGTAATCGGAAAGATATTCTGCTGTGATGTCCGAACCCTATAACAGATAACACTATATCCTTTTGAACATTCTTAGAGAGTTTAGGTCATTTTTCTTAGATTCACTTTGCGGCAGCTGAATCCTACATGTATCCGCACAGCACTTCTGCGACAAACGTTGATTATGTAATACACATGTACATGTAGCATGGCTGTGGATCTAGGCATATCTTATTGTAGTAGACAGTACATACATGTACTTGTAGGAAAGAGCGATTTGAGGGCTTGAATGTCAAACTTCATAGATGTGGAAATTTCCTAGGCTCGCAGACGTCGATCTCATTATGACTCCCGAATTATACCAAGTAGCAAACCAGATCTTCGATTAGAATTGCTGTTTCATTAATTTAAAATATTACACCGCCGCTTAGTTTATGTTTGCTAGAGTTTAGATTGATGATGAAGCAATCCCGTGACGCTTTTCTGCCATCCACTGAAGTACTCAAGTAACTTATTCTCGATTTTTGTCCAAAGATGCAATGTGTCCTGATCTCAATGTTTCTTCATGTGGATGTGAATTATAACTATTCAATCGGAGCTGCAGTTACCATTTCTAGTTGGTAGCTGCTCGTTAAGTGCTGAAAGCTAGCATCCGTATCTTAAGTGTACCTAGCAGAGAGCACTTCGTAGAGAAATGAAATCTCGCGGCTAGGCTTGATTCCGCAATAGACTACCTTTGAGGATTGATAAAGGAGTAATATTTGCCAGGGAACAGAAAGATCCATAAAAAAAGCCTGAAGTGCTAACCATTAACTTTTACTGTCCTTATCTGGAACGATACATCTAAAGGCAACCGCGCGAATAACAGGTAACCATCAACTGTCATGGTTAGCACTAGTATCTCTACCAGACTGTCACCCTGATGAAGGCAGTGCCATACAAAGTTGACTACATGTACTTGTACATGTACATGTACATGTACGGGTTCAGAAACTGAGCGTTGTTATTGTTTTATTTTTTCGGGGGTAACGGCCTCTTTCACGGGCGTTGCTAATGTGCATACATGCACATGCGCAATAGCAGATTTGGGTATATGTACATGATGTACATTTCTTGTAGTAAACCCATGATCTTAGCATACATGTACATGTACAATGTACATTTGTATATGTACAAAATTCCTACATGTTGTTGATCTAATACCATAATATTTGTCGGGGTAACGGCCTCTTTTACGGGCGGGCAAGATAAAGTCATGTACATGTAGATGTGCATGTAGATGTGAAAAATAGAGATACCATGAAAAGAAACCAGGGCATGGGTACATGTACATTGCACTACATCACATTTTACAATGTGCATTATGTGTTGTACATGTTACATGTACATGTACGTCACATGATGTTGCAGGAACGTTCTACAATTTACATGTACCGTACAATCAGGAACAATGGCGTATGCAATGGCTAGCCTAGAAGTGGCTATGGAAGAACATAGTAAAAGCTATGGAAGCACATAGTAAGAGAATAGGATACTAATAACTGCGAGTAAACGGGGGGAGAGAGAGAATACGATGTATCTGTGATACTACGTGAGGGTTACTGAACTGCACGGGGAGGGAGAGCAGAGCGATCAGCAGCAACTCGAACTACTCCCTACAGGCGTATGGTACACATGCATGCTTAAACGCGTTGAATTATCATCTTATCGATCTCATGGCATTTATTAATCTGTTCTTTTTAGGTCGGCCACAAAAACAATGGAGGCTGTAGCCTAATGGAGTTGCTCAGTATAGCCAATCGCTACTAGTAATGTAAAGCTCAATGTATGATTTTGTGAACAATTCATTTCGAAAGTGAAATGCAACAAGTATCATTATCTCTACAAAAAAAATTAGAAGCGTGCCCATTTTTCTAATTAATTCGATGCTTCGACATGTTCATGTACATGTAGGTCGTCTATACATGTACCTGTCTAAAAGACAACACAGCGATAATCTTTCTGAACCAAACGTTCCCGTTCCCTTCTCTTCATAGTGTCTTACCGGGAATACAGTGAATTGACTGAAACAGCAAATACACTGTATACAATGTATTTTTTTATGCAGAGCTCACTGACTTGTCAGTTTGAGCACTCTGGCAAGGTACGCTCGGGCCTGATTGGAAATTTTTATTTTCATTGCTATGAGGTTCGGCCTCATTTCCCCTGTGCTGCGCTGATGAGTTCACAAAGAACGAAACAGCATGCTGTCCGCAGATTGAGTATACAATGTAATACTGTATACATATATGGGAAAATAAATACTTGAGTAGGAGAGATAAACATCACGCTACAAGTGTGAAATTATTATCTCTGTGTTTGTATTTCGTCGTCCCAGCAATATTTTTTTTGGTTGCACTGCTGGATCAAGAAATTCTCCATCACTCTCATCAGTCGAAAGATCGCGTTGCAAGAAGTACACGTATCAAAGAGGTATATGATAGGCAAAAACGTTGCCGAGTTGATCAACATCTCTAAAAATTTAATGGAAAGCCGAGATTAAAAGTGTCAAGATGACTGTACTCTTGCAATACAAGAGCACACACGCCAGTTTAGCCAGGGTATTCATGTCAGGGTCTCTTTCCATTCCCATTCCACATGCACACGTACATGTACAATACACGTGGAACGTTTTTAATGACCAATCAAGTGATTCCACTCAAAATTATCCTGTGAGTTGTTATTGTGTATGTGATCAAAGCCCAATGTTTGTATAATATGTACAGTCCAAGAGGCGAGCGATTATATCATGATGTATTTGCTGGTAGCGTCTGCATTCTCTGTTCGTCCAATCAGATGAAACAAGCGCGGCTGGCTGATCTCCTCATCAGTACACCAGCGGTCCTGGTGATGGCTGAACATGGTTTAGACGCGGTGTAGGAGTGTCCCATAAGCCTGGCAACCAGGAGGATATCTGCAGCGGGCGAAAACAAGAGAAACACTTTTAAAACGCATCGAGGGATAATCATCGGCGACAAGCCTTTAGCACAATCATGTTTTTTTCCAAAGGACACAAGTCAAGTCTTGATCATACAGTAATAAAGGATTAATTTGGTAACGTCCATGGGCAAGGCCAATGGTACTACAATGTAGTTCAACACAACGCCAAACGCTGCTATGATCTCTTATCTCTTAACAATTTTACGGTTTCCTCGCGCAACATACAATGTTCCTGTGCACCTAAATTCAGTGTATACAGTAGAGTGGACACCGGCACGGGAAGGGAAGACACACAGACTAAACTATTTCCAAAATGGCCAACGCACATAGAATGTCAAGGCGTACAGTGCACAACGAGTCTGCCCTGTCTATCGCACGTACCTCATATTGGTTTACGGCCGACCAGATATTTGCCGCTGGCATGGGCTCTGGATCCCAAGGGAACAGCGTTGAGATGGGATCAGCTGGGAGTGTGGTAAGCGGAAAATTGGCGACTTGCCGGCCCCCTGTTTCTACATCCAACACGTGTTCGTTGCCAGGTCGGCAACAATGCGGCATCAGATGCGCTGAAACAGTTGCAGCAAGGCAGTCGGTCTGGCTGGGCATACGGGCAGCTGCTCGTTGGGGAAAACCCTGCTCTTGCTGGGTTGTGATGTCCACTCGTTGTGTGCACGAAGAGGTTGAACTGGGTGCACTACTTGCGATTGGAACGGGCATAGAGCTAGAGGAATTGGTCGACACGTTGGGTGAAACACAATCTGTTGAGGGCAACAGAGCGTCGCTGGGTGCTGACACAGGAAACTCAGTATTCTGGCGTGCCATTTGAAGACTTTCAATTGATTCGTCAGTGGCCTCATTGTGCTGTGAAACACGATCTGCGCCTTTCATATCAAGGGGTACACCGGGTAAAAGTGGCGCCTCTGCCGCACATGCGGATGGCGTACAGGGGCCACCGGGTGACTTTCCACCCGACATGGCACAAGGGGCAGGGCTTGTCCCATGAGCGTCGAGGATGCTCCGAAGATCCTGTATATATAACTGAGCGCGTTCAAGAGTCTGCAGTTGCGATAGCTTCATCCCATGATCGAACGTCACACGGTCTGAGAGGCGATCGAATGCATCATGTATCTGCTGGTACCGTCTGCGTTCTCTTATAGTAGCAGAAGCCCTGCGGTGGCTAGAAGAAGGTCCGTTCATCATTTTCCTATTCGCTAGAGATCTGCTCTTCGCCATCATTAATAATAGTTAACACTCAGTGGATATGGTGGTCACTCACGAGCCGATCGAAATCTGATAATCATTCAGTGCTTAGGTCTACGAAAACTGCGTGTGGTGACATTTGCGAACTTGCAATTTATACACTTCCGGTGATCAAGATGCGTGAGTGTGAGCGCTGATATTTCTCGTTCTCGTGCTCATAATTGTTACCATCCAAGCAGCCTGGCCTCTCCTCGCCTGTGTCAGGCTTGCGCATCTGCCACTCAGCAGAATGTGTTGACGATTGCTTGGTGCAAAAGCTCGTGCGGAAGATGTCTAATGGCAGTAATGCTGCCAGCGCACAAGAATTGGATTTCCCTCGCCTTTTTGACAACACAATGTAATTATGTTGCAAACTGCTATTTCAAGGCGTGCTGAGTACCCCGGGTCACCTCGGGTTCAGGAAGTTGGAGAAGGAAAAGGCACACAGCAGAAAGAAAATTGGCAAGCGTTCAGAGAATCGTCGAGATGTATGCAGAGATGCAGTTCAGTGTTATCGTCTCCTGGAGTTCAGGCACTAATCCCGTCCCTGCACACTGCCTAGTACGCATTACACACGCACATCTACATCTACATTGCATGGATATGTTACTCGACTTGAATTACCAGTTGAACAGTTCGAAGTACATGTATGCATGGAGAGGGATCCACAAACCTGAGGGACAGACATTCGCCATAACATGGAGTCTGGAGATGCTTTCAAATACCCTCAGGATTGGTCACAGATCAGCAGATTTGAACTCGAAAACGCAACCCCGAACCAGCCCATCGCTACGCAATAGGGATTTTCAGAAACATGTAGATAGCCCTTAGTCAGCCACCAGTCGATATTGTATTATTTTTATTATGCATTATGAGGCAGAAGCGGCCCAGCCCCTTTCAATTGTGAACACCTTCCCGAATTTACACCTGTTGCCATTTGCACCTGGCAACTGTTGAGTTCCCCAACGTCCCCTCTTCACTTACAAGTTACATTGTCCATTGCAGATGCCTTTTTGTTTGCGTTGAGACAGTCAGTGTCACTAAAAAAAAGTCACAATGCATTGCAGCTTCGTTCGTACGACGGTGGCTGAACATCCGCCGGCACCTCAAGTAGAGCAGTACAATAGAGTCTGGTGCGGAACATTGCGCCCTTTCCAGCCGTCAATCGAAGCGCGGCGAAATTATTCAGACGTGCAGGGAATATCTGTCTTCCTCGACGAATTCAGAAAGCTGGTGACTCGTGACATTTCGTGCTCCTTGTCGTGCGAACATGAAGGTACAATGTACATGTAAAACAAACGCCAGTGTTCACCTGGTCATTCCATGCATATTCAACGTTCCTACCAGATCAATAAAGTACAGTCTGGCACAATCCGTACTACTGAGTAGCTTACATGTATCTATTGTGTGTTGGAGTGTCAGCAGGTACATAATCATTGTACATGACTATTTGGCCTTAACAAAACACTTGAAAATCCAACACACACTTCTACGCGTAAGTGCTAGTTCTTAAAGCCTGTTGTTAGGTCTAAGTGCTGCAATCGTAAACTTCACAAAGTATTCTGGTTGCAAGGCGTTCGGCATACATTGTATGCCATTGTCGAAGTGGTAAAAAAGTAAGTAAAAGTCAATTATCGTGTCCGTTCCCGAAGGGAACTCACGACGGCCGCTAACACCCCGTAAACCCTATCGACGTGGTATGTCACCGTGAAGTTGAGAAAGAAATCACGTGTGCGTAATATTGAGAAGACGTCCGAATATGCTTCGACTACATTATTTAGATAGGAACGAGAAAATCGATTCTGGGTTTTCAATAATATTTTTGTTATAAAATACACAGTAATACATGTCAAACAAGTAACGTAGTTGCGTGATGTCTGCGGCCTTCATCCTATTCATACCTATATTATTTGTTATCACAATTAATTAATTCACACAAATTGAGTGTCAGCTTACACACATAACAATCATTTCTATTATAATAATCATACCGCTTGCATTTTCAAATTTGGACTCCACGGAGAATATCAAAGTTTTAGGAAATTAGAGGCCACATGCCACGTACTGCTCTTTTCTCTCCGAAACTCAACAATTGCAATTGCAATTGCTATCTATCTATCTATCTCTGTCTCTTCTATCTCTGTCTCTCTGTGTCTCTCTGTGTCTCTCTCTCTGTCTCTCTCTGTCTCTCTCTCTCTCTCTCTCTCTCTCTCTCTCTCTCTCTCTCTCTCTCTCTCTCTCTCTCTCTCTCTCTCTCTCTCTCTCTCTCTCTCTCTACTACTACTATCTCTCTCTCTCTCTCTCTCTCTCTCTCTCTCTCTCTCTCTCTCTCTCTCTCTCTCTCTCTCTCTCTCTCTCTCTCTCTCTCTCTCTACTACTAGTACTCTCTCTTCTCTCTCTCTCTCTCTCTCTCTCTCTCTCTCTCTCTCTCTCTATCTCTCTCTCTCTCTCTCTCTCTCTCTCTCTCTCTCTCTCTCTCTCTCTCTCTCTCTCTCTCTCTCTCTCTCTCTCTCTCTTCTCTCTCTCTCTCTCTGTCTCTTCTCTGTCTCTGTCTCTCTCTCTCTCTCTCTCTTCTCTCTCTTCTCTCTCTCTCTCTCTCTCTCTCTCTCTCTCTCTCTCTCTCTCTCTCTCTCTCTCTCTCTCTCTCTCTCTCTCTCTCTCTCTCTCTCTCTCTCTCTCTCTCTCTCTCTCTCTCTCTCTCTCTCTCTCTCTCTCTCTCTCTCTCTCTCTCTCTCTCTCTCTCTCTCTCTCTCTCTCTCTCTCTCTCTCTCTCTCTCTCTCTCTCTCTCTCTCTCTCTCTCTCTTTCTTTCTCTCTCTCTTTCTCTCTCTCTGTCTCTCTCTCTCTCTCTCTCTCTCTCTCTCTCTCTCTCTCTCTCTCTCTCTCTCTCTCTCTCTCTCTCTCTCTCTCTCTCTCTCTCTCTCTCTCTCTCTCTCTCTATTTCTCTCTCTATTCCTCTCTCTCTCTCTCTCTTGAAATTTGTATAGACCCAAACCGATCATCAGCGTTGATTATTCACTCGAAATATGATCGTGGAAGGAAACTGGCATGTTGAAGTTTGCTTTGAGGCCAGAGTCAATCGAACTGAGCCACTCCTTTGTGTTGACCCATTGCCTCCAAGTTGCCCAATCTTTCGCTTCAAATCAGAGGTGGCTCCAAACCGGACAGGTTCTAGAGTGCACGTCAAATTCACTCTGGGTCTGATATAATTAGGTAATTGCTATCGCTCCACGACGGCCAGTACAGAGTAACAATAAGCCTTGTGTGTGCTTTCATTAGTTTTGATTGGTATGCGGTGCTTTATTGGCGAGAGGCGAGCCGCTGTTTAGTTTCCACGACAGTTCGCAGAAAACATTTTCGACGAACGACTGTTCGTCGAATCCTGTTCGCCCCCAAGCCATTTCGTTGACTGGCCCATTAGGTGAGTGTCCTTTTCGACGTGTGAACTTCTCGCCGAGTGACAGGTTAGACGAAAGGTATTTTCATCGACAACCTCTGTCGAGGCGTGGGAATTTCGTCGAATGGCACGAAATCGCCCTGTATATATACCTAACAAAACCAAACGAAGGGAAAGGGAAATGTGCAAATGCAAGGCGAACATTGGGCTGAGAGCACGCCTGAGAGCACTGGTAAGCTCATTTTGAAGGCAGACCATCACTGAAATTCTTGCGCGGAATTGCCAACCTGTCATATCCAAATGTGTGAGGAGAATCCTGACAGAAATCCTTGTTTGTTTGCTCGATCATCAAGGAACAAGACCTACATACATGTACATGTATATGTAGCTCAGCTCAATGATCCTTCTTTGCTTTCTCTGTTGCCGCCTCGCAACATGGCTATGTCCCTTCATTTTCATCTACATGTACATATGTATGTTTTACACCTGTGTGTGTGTGTGTGTGCACTGGAAACACCACTTCATCTAAATCAAAGTTCCTGTAGGTATGACTATGAGGTGCTTCTGAAGCATGGTTTGAGTGGTTGTCCAACAGGCCAGGCGCTGAAAAGACAACTCGTCTAAGGGGGGAGTCGACGAAAAGACCAGTCGTCGAACAAGGTTGTCGGCGAACGGGGTTGTCGTCGAATAGGTTTCGACGAACTGTCGTTCGACCAACAGGTTGTCCGCGAACAATCGTGACACCTTACCTGCGACAAGAAGTTGATTTTTCGAAAGTCGTAAAACTCAAGTCGCAGTGCGAAGCAACACGTCAAAAACTCACCTGCTTGGTATGGCGCTTCTGCCTTTTTTCTGGTCATCGCAGAGCCATGAAATTTTGGTTCGGAGTATAACACATCGTAGTCTCACTGTGACATAATAATAATAATATTGTGTTTTCTAATCAAAATACCAAGAGAGAAAGGGAATAACGAGTCCGTTCCGGTTTGCAACCTACATGTATGTCCTAGTATTTGAAACCGTCGCCTCTACATGTACATGATGATGATGATGATGATGATGATGATGATGATGATGATGATGATGATGATGATGATGATGATGATGAAGCCACTTCTTTGGGCAAACAAAACACAATTTCCCAAGATGAAGGAGTGGAACCCTACACAAATAATAGTTTAAATGAATCCAACGCAAAGATCGTTTTTCCATGAAATACAACAATTGAACACAATTACATGCTTAATGATGATGATGATTGTACATGACATGATGCAGCGGCGTGCTCGGCCCCCCAACTAGGGGGGTGCACGGGAGCCGAGGGGAGCTCCCCCGGCAATTTTCTGCAATTTGTTTGCAACCTTTCTTGAATTTTAGAGCATATTTGCATACATTACAATTGCAATTACCCAGATTGAAAATTTTAGGGGGGTGCATGTGCCCCCGTGCCCATCGCCCAGCACGCGCCTGTGCACATGTGATGTAGTACTACAGATCTAGACTACAGACTCTGTAGATCTACTGCCAGTAGATCTACACTGGCTAGACTCAGTAGGTCTAATCTGTACAGTCACAACCGCTATTGATTATGTACATGCACGTGATCGTGAGTGTAGTACTGTACCATGCGTCCTGTGCCGGCTGTGGACGTAGCAGAGTCTGGGCCAGTACAACCCAAAGCATGCAGCAAGTACTACAATGATTGTACAGGACAATGATTGTACAGGACAATGTTCGTGGCAAAGTCATTTTTCTACTTCTAGTTTTGTAGTGTTTGAAATGAATAGTGTTTGAAATGAATAAATCGGTACCCTGAATCCTACAGCAATAACAGTTCTGCTTGTTCGCCGCTGGTAGGAGAATGGCTGCTTGGTGTTCCATAGAGCGATTCGTTGTCGTTGCGCTAATGAGCGTGTAAGTCGGTACGACATGTTGACCGTTACTTAGGGGCGTTATCAAATTTGCTGAATACCATTATTGTAGAGAAAACCTCAGGCAGGAGTGCGAGGTAACTAACCTCCATTATGTTACTAGCTGGGAGTGTGTCTCTGATTGGTTCTGAGAATCCCAGCGTGGCGTTCTTCAGCTGTCTCTGTACCGCACCATAGCGAGATGAAACGAACTGCTCGGTTCAGAGATCAGCTGGTCTACAAAAATATTTTATTGTAAAGCGTGACATGATGGTTACTACTATGGCCACAGATTTCGTTAACTCAACGAAAATGTATGAAAAATGTTCTTCTGTCTTGCATCGAGATACGGCTCTGATTTCATCTTCCGTTAAAATTATTTTTAATTTGTGGATCAATTATTTGAACGGCCGATCCTCATTCTTTCCAAAAAGACCATATTCTGTCCTTAGAGATGAGGTCTCCTAGATATCCACACTGCAGGCTTTGTTTCCGTACATAGCAATAAAAATCCAGGGGAGAGGAGGGGAGTGCGCAACTACCCAGTACTGGGACAGAGGGAGGGTAGCGTAGGATAGGGTACCAAGCGACATTCGACATTGCGTGATGCCCATCGCACGTGTATCAAAACAAAAACTTTATAAAATCGCTCACACAACCCCGTTATCACATGGACGCAGTGCACACCTGGCTTCTATAGTCCATTCTATTAAGCTTGAGTTGTGCCCACCTCATCTCATGTGTTTTAATTGGTTCTCTTCTCTAAGAACTAGAAACTCACTCTTACTCCCTAAGTGTAACTCATCCACTCTTTTGCGCTCCCCTCTCTTTATTGCTTATTCTGTTTGGCTCACTCTACCCAGAGAAGTTAAGGACCTGACCTCACTCCGCCTGTTTAAGATCCGTGCCGCCCCTTATTTACTACGACATGCATAGCTCATTATCCACATGATCATTGCGTCTCTGTGTTTTTCACTGTTTTTATTTGACATTATCTTTCTCTTTCTTTACGGAGTTGTTGCTGTTCATTTTGCTACTCTTTCTTTTTCCCTCCCCTTACTTTTATTTATTGCCGTGGTTGGCAATCACCCACTCTCTTTAACATTGGCCGGTGTTTCCACCGAGTCTTGAGATGTTGTAATAAATATATAAATATAAAAACATAAAAACAAAAAAACACAAAATAATACACTACGTCTCCAACCTAAGAAAACATAATTTCATGACTGCCGACTCTGCCAACTCTGCCGTTGGTGGGCGTCGTTGCACAGCTGTGGCCCACTCCTTGTCTAAGAGCGTGTATTCGTGCTTTTTTGTTCCACCCGTAGCTTTCTGCAAGGTCCGCACGAGGCCAGAGCAGAGTTCACGCGCTATATCTTTTCCGATACGGAAGTGGGCCGTTATCAGGCGCGCTGCCTGGACGGGTCTCCCAGTGGCTTCTTCTACGAGAGAGGCGCTCTGAACACCAAGTGGGTCTTCTATCTGGAAGGTGAATGACCTGAAATTCCGAGCATGTTGTATTTTGGGGGCACGGATGCACACACACACACACACACACACACACACACACACACACACACACACACACACACACACACACACACACACACACACACACACACACACACACACACACACACACACACACACACACACACACACACACACACACACACACACACACACACACACACACACACACACACACACACACACACACACACACACACACACACACACACACACACACACACACACACACACACACACACACACACACACACACCCACACCCACACCCACACCCACACCCACACACACACACACACACACACACACACACACACACACACACACACACACACACACACACACACACACACACACACACACACACACACACACACACACACACACACACACACACACACACACACACACACACACACACACACACACACACACACACACACACACACACACACACACACACACACACACACACACACACACACACACACACACACACACACACACACACACACACACACACACACACACACACACACACACACACACACACACACACACACATACACACACACTCACACACAGCTGAATGCCAATGCTAGGCAGCCACACCCCCCCCCCCCACAACAAATAGTTTGTTCAGCGACCCTTCGTCGCCCGTGCGTAATGCATTTTTACAAGTGAGACGTCATGTTGCGCCCAGGCATTGCTGCACCATAGAGGCAAGAAAATTGTAAGTTTTCTGTATTCATTGCTTGAGGGAATAGAAAATAAAGTCGAGGCCCTAGGTCGGCGGAGCTCCCTAAACCTCGCCACCACTGCCACGATTCAGGTTGTGCGTGCTTCCCCTAGCTGCATCTCATGTTTGGCATTAAGTGGTCTTTGTAAAAAATAAAATAAAATAAAAAAGGAAAATCTGAAGAAAAATTCGACTGTTACCTACGGGACTCTAACCAGGGACGGTCGCCTGTCGCCAGCAGGTTTTGTGTATGTTGCATAATCGTCAACGGTGATTTGTGTACCTGCTTCAGGTGGTGGACTATGCGATTCTCAAGAGACATGTCAGAGCCGCTCGCACGGTAGTCTCGGCTCGTCCACCAAGTGGGGTGAGTCGTTCGGGGGAGGTGGCCTGCTGTCCAACGAGCAGTCGGAGAATAACGGCTTCTACAACTGGAATCGCATCTACGTCCCTGTAAGCTGTGTGAACTCGGATAGGGTTGGGGGGGGGGGGGTATGTGTGAATGTGTGGGATGGAGTGCGGGTGTGTGAGAGAAACAGAGAGAGAGAGAGAGAGAGAGAGAGAGAGAGAGAGAGAGAGAGAGAGAGAGAGAGAGAGAGAGAGAGAGAGAGAGAGAGAGAGAGAGAAAGAGAGAGAGAGAGAAAGAGAGACAGTGACCGTATATTATGTACTTACTTTTGTGAGACTACCTATACTATAATGCCTGTCTATGACGCGACTAGCACAATGATAATCATGATGTGTATACTTGCCGGTTGCTGTTGTACACAGCAGCCAGGCAAGCACAGTAAATTATAATTGCCGTAGCACTCTGGATAGATTTGGGAGAGGTGCATGTGTCACTCTCCATACTCCGTCGCTCCATGACTCTCTAGACAAGGGTATGGACGTATGGCTGATAGCAGGTGTCCATAATCCCCCAGAGTGCGCAAATTTACGGATCAGATCTGGGACGGCGAACTCCGTGTTGCACGTCATGGTGTGACATCATGAGTAGGGGAAGTGTGTCCGTGGTGGAGCGCATCGTCGGAAAGACACAAGTCCAACCCAAAAAACAACGTACATCACGGATTACACCGTCCCACAACCCCATCCCAGTTGCGCACTCGGGGGGATTATAAACTCTTGCTGATAGTGTGTGCTAATCGTGTGTATGCATGCGTGTGTGAATGTGGATGCGTTTGGGTGGGTATGTGTTCATGTGCATGCGTATGCGGGTGTTTGTGTGGGAGGGTATGTGTTTATGAGCGTGTGTATGTTCAATGTGTGCGTGTGTGTGTGCGTGTGTGTGTATATGTTTGCACGTGCATTTGTTTTTCTCAGTACTGCGGAGGAGACCTTCACTCCGGACAGAGAACCCAGCCAAACGAGTGGAACGTGTACTTCTCAGGACACTTGACAATCGTCGCCATAGTGAAGCAGTTGCGAGTGTACGGTGGAATCGACAAGTAAGCACTGGACCTTTAGCTAACTGTGACTGGCAGCCAAATCTCTGTGGCTGTCGCGGAGTGGTGTGCTCTCTCAATCGCTTTCTAAGCCGTGTTCGAGCTGTTGCTGGATTCAGTGTTCCCTGGCTACTACTTGATTTCTGCTTTTTTTAAATGCGTTGTGAGTGCCTGCCCTAATCTTTATAATTATGCCACCACCACTGAGCTAGGCTTTCAAGTAGAGTTATTGGATGCAGTGGCTGTCAACAGCAACATAATCATAGTTAACTGAGCCCTGGGAAGCGTCTATATACCTGTGTTTCTCAATCTCCCTCTCCCCTTCTCTCTCTCTCTCTCTCTCCTTCCCCCTCTCTCTCTCTCTCTCTCTCTCTCTCTCTCTCTCTCTCTCTCTCTCTCTCTCTCTCTCTCTCTCTCTCTCTCTCTCTCTCTCTCTCTCTCTCTCTCCCTCCCTTCCTCTACCCCCCCCCCCCCCCCGCTCTCTCTCTCTCTGTCAGTCTCTCTCCCTCTCGTTCTCTATCCATGTCCTGAAAACAATTTGTTGAATGTAATGCGGCAATATATGGCAGCATCAACTCGGGCGTCGGAAGGTAGTTTATAGTGGTACGGTCAGCGTTTTATTGGTTTCCAGGCACGTGGAGCCAAGAGTGGTATGGTCAATACCGTAGTGACGTAGCGCGTTCGGCTCCCCTGATCCAGTATTGCTCCTCTTCTACAGTGTGCCTCTCTATTGATACTGTCGTAATCAATGCATGTTCCAGCTTAACTAACCTTCCCTGGTACTTGACTGTGTGGACAATCATCAGTCCTATTCTAACGTATTGTTGCATATGTATTGCATGGCCTTCTGCTGCACGTTTGTTCTCCAGTGCAACAGATATCCTGGTGAGCGGAGAGTCTGCTGGCGGCATAGGGGCTTTCGAGCATGTCGACTTCTTTGCGTCTGAATTTCCAAAGGCGCACGTTCGAGGCACTCCACAAGGTACGTGGACCAGCCAGGATTTTTGCCTCCTGAAGGAATTCACGTGGCTGACTTGATTGCAAATTGATGTTCAGCTGCGCCAAGAGAAGCCACTTTAGTATAAATTGTGGTATAGCTAATGAGCTAGGTTTCTGCTGCGTAATCTTTGGAAGCTAATTTCCATTGAACAGATACGAAAGTACTGGTTGATGAATAGCTGTTCTCAATTTCTCTCTTTCAGTAAACATGGTGTTTTGCTGATGACTGAGCCCTATGCTATGTTACATTTGGTGTTGACTACTTTTCCAATGAACAGATAAGAGTTTGCTGGCTGATGAGTAGCACGAGATGTTTTTGATTTCTGTTTTTCAGGTGGTTACTACTTCCCAGTGGTCGGGGCACCTCAAACCTATCAAGAGTTTGTTGCCAAGCAGCCCGCACCCAATAGGACCAGCGCCTTGTTCGATCTGTACAACGCCAGTGTCAACGCAGCCTGTCTTGCAGCAAACCCATCCAGTGCTTTCCAGTGCGGACCTGCCAATCTCGACTACATGATCAACTACCTTCAAGTAGGTGTGCTCAACGTGTGCTCAACGTTTGCTCAATGTGTGTGTGTGTGTTTGTTGTGTGTGTGTGTGTGTGTGTGTGTGTGTGTGTGTGTGTGTGTGTGTGTATGTGTGTGTTTGTATGTGTGTGTGTGTGTGTGTGTGTGTTTGTATGTGTGTGTGTGTGTGTTTGTATGTTTGTGTGTGTGTGTGGGGGGGGGGGGGGTGTGTGCGCGTGTGTGCGCGTGTGTGCATGTGATGGCCATACGTGTGTGTGTTGTGTGCGAACATTCAAACGTAGATGCAGTTGTAAGCACCTGGCAGTGTATTCTGCATGCTTAACCCTCGGGCATTTGTAGCGGTGTGTTCTGTATGCACTACAACTACATGTATGTCTGACCTCTAGTACTGCTCATCCCATGTTAGCTTGCACTCTTGCTACTTACATATCCATGTGGCCTTGTCCAAGTTTGTTGCCTTTGTGAGCATATGTAAAGCATCACTAACCCAATGCTGTAGACAGCAAGCTGTTTCGGCCATAAAGGCTCCTCATCAGTACGGCATCACTAAAATAACCCCGTGCCTGGAGAACATATACTCTGTTGCTGTAGTTGGTTTGCTCAAAACAATACATGTAGCTTTCCGCAGGTCTTCTTAGATCACACCAATCTCTGTCGTCGCCATACAAGGGCTGAAGAAACAAACTAACTACAATGTACATATACCGCCTCCAGACTTGAACCAGCTACCTCCACCACTAGGCTATTGTGCTTGTGACTCATCCTTTTTTCTTTCCTTCACTTGTGGGTGTATGGCAATTCGCATCAGGAATGTGAACCGATTTTCGTGTCCTCTTTTCTTGCTCAACTTCATCCTTGAACAGACTCCCGTGTTTGTCGCCGAGAATCAGTTTGACAAGCAGCAGATCTTCGAGCGTATGGGATGTCCTGAAAAGGTGGGTGTTCCTATACAGCCATGGTGACACGCTGCAATGTGCTGTGCGATGTGCGTATGCATGCATGCGCATGAGTGTGTGTGTGTGTGTGTGTGCGTGTGTGTGTGTGTGTGTGTGTGTATGTGTTGCCAACGGGCTCGGCTGCTTGAAGGTGTATTGTTGTACCTACCACCTTTGTTGGTTTCAGGGTTCATATACTTTCTATTTGAAGTATACATACCTGTTAACCATGGACTGCTTCTGGCTAGATTAACTCTTGTGTAATCAATGGTGCTAGTGAAGCTTATATCCGATCCATTCTGATTTAGCCACCCACACTAGTACCAAGTATTGCCTTCACTGGGGGCAGGAGTATCTGCAGTTGGATCCCGGGACGGATACCCTGATGCCGTCAATCCTTTTTCTGCACCTTGTCCTCACCCACCTACTGAGGTGTGGTGAGTCCATAAGTGGGGTCATTTCAAGTCCACCCTAGTTTGGGGATTTCAGGGGGTGTCGGCCGCTGGGTGGTTCAATGGCCAATTGAGTCATCTTTCCAAGATTCCTTTTGAGTCTCTCTCCCCTCTCCCGGGGAGACCCACGTGACCAATGTTGGCAGTGAGCAAGTACAAGTGTGTGTGTGTGTGTGTGTAGGGTGTGTGTGTGTGTGTGTGTGTGCGTGCGTGTGTTCGCACGATGCATGGTGCAGGGGCTGTGTACCCAAGCTTGTTGTTACCGAGCCCTCTGCAGTTTTTTGTGTACTGTGTGGTCCAATCACGTGAACAATTTGGTGGTCTATTATATCCAGGCATACAGCTGCAGCTGAAATTGATTTTCCAACTCAACTGAATAGTAGTTTATCCTGTAATACTACGGAGGATTAGCAAGACGAAATTCGCGTTCGCGTTCGCAAACATTTTTCAGTTCGCGAACTGGATTGCGAACTTTCGCATTTTTCTTTCGGAAAAGTAATCGTAACACGAATCGCGGATCAGGGCAGTCATAAATTTACCACGCTGTACTGTCTGCTAATCCTCCGTACTCTCAAGGATATGCTAACAACGCGCCTCTGTACAGTAGAGTAGACAAACATTAATGTCAGCAAAGCTGCGCTGCACTTAACAGTGTGTTTGACATAACCCGATCACAAGTTTCTCAAATTCCATGCTGCACAGTAAGTTTCAGTTTCACGGGATATCTCGTGGCAAATCCGTCCTCAGTGTAAATATGGACGAATAAAATTTGCAACACGGCCCGGTGTACTTTTTCTCTTTCTCAATACATTCTCGTCTTTCCTGCTCTATCTGTTTTTGCTGGTGCTCTGCTCCAGCAAACTGCAGAGGTCGAAGCCTACATCAAGTACTACGGGGAGCTGATGATGGCTGCGATGGCCAAGAAAGTGATTGGCTCTTCACTTGGTCATGGCCTGTACTTTCCTGCGTGCCTACAGCACACAGGTCAGTGATGATGCCTGGGAGAAAGCAGGGGCGTAGCAGGTCCCCCATTTAGGCGGGTTGTGGGGGGGGGGGGGTGCAAGGCCGCATATCGTTATGTGTAGGATGGCTGGTGCATGTCATCACGGTCATTATGTGCATGCTGAACCTAGATGTAGGTCAATACTTTTAGGTGGGGGGGGGGGGGGGGTGCATATGCCCCCCGTGGCCAATGCGGCCTACACGCCTCAGAATGACATTATCAAACGTATTGTGATGTACACTCAACCCGATGAATAACAAATTCTACTATCATAACTCACTTCGGATCTATAGTCCTTTTCAAAAAGATTAGCAATCAGGTTTTGGTCTTAACAAGTATGAAGATAAGGGAAATTTGGACAACAAAGTACAAAGAATGGCTTGTTAGGACACGGCAAATTGTTCTGTGAAGGTTTCGGAACAATTGGACCAGCTGTTAAGGAGTTAGAATTTCGGTCAGGTTTCCGGCCTTTTCCCATGGTTTACAATTTGCCGTGGATGTCAGTATCGATTTTTTATCAAAACCCACGATTTATCCTTTCCTTTTTGGCCTTGTGGTTATGAATGCTGTCTGCTGACCATGAAGTTGTGAGTTCAAATCCCAAACTATCTTCAAGTCAAACTTTTTTTTCATTGTTTTGGTGATCACGCTGGTACAAAAAGTACAAGCCAAAGAAGGTGGCTGCGCCAAACGACTTGTTGTTGGAACTCGCGTTTCCTGCCGAACTTACTGACACTTGACTGGTTCACGCCATGTGAACACACCCACAACACTGAAACGGTGTGAGTAAACACGGAAGTCATTGCGCTGTAGCTACGTGTTGTTGAATACAACGGCACATCGGTCGATCGATTTCTCTCTGAGAATTATTTTAGTATTTCAAGATTGCCAATTTATTTGAATTTAGGAGTCAACGCCGTCTTCTATCAGCTTTCACAGGCGTCTGCTTTTCTCAAAATATCCTCGAAGTCACACGGATAGCTTTGCCAAGTCATGGCCTTGGGAATGAGTCTGTCGATGTCGTTTTCGTCACATCGTGAGAGCAAATTGCATCGCAGCTCAAAGAAATTGGGCACGAAACGAATTGGGACCCATCCCGCTCGTCAACATTTACCACACTTTCGACATGTCCTCTCTGACTCCATATCGATACGAGGAAGAACTAGTTTGTTGTAAACCAGACGTTCATGTACCGACGTGAGTGAGTTGTCATTTTTCATGCTTTGACGCGGATTATTTCTTCGAGTTCACAGTGAGTTTTTCCAGCCAGCTCTCGAGCGCGCATACGGTAAGACGGCAAACTCCGCGGGCGATCACCAGGATTGCTAAGGATTGCTAATCTTTTTGAAACTTACTGTAGGCACCATTTTTCATCATGCGTTCAACCTCACGGGTTTGGGTAATTTCCTGATAGCGAAACCTTTTGTAATGCATGATCGAGAGATATTATTTGCGATGTTCACTGTCGATGGTTCTGTTTGCTGGCGTTTCTGCAGGTGATCTGGATAACCCCTACAAAACGCTGCCCATCGATGGTGCAACGTATGGTCAAGCCCTAGAGAGCTGGTATTTCGGCACGCACTCCTACAGCCACGTGGTGTATGAGAACAAAACCATGCCGCACTGCTGAGCGGCGTCTGTGCGTGCTCTGTGCGTGCTCTTTGCACGCCATGTGCGCATGCACCACGAGTCTCCGTCGTGTCTGTGTCTGGACACTGAGCGGGCATCCCTGTGCATGCTCTGTGCGTGCACAGAGCATGCATGCCCCGCCGCTGAGTGGCATCGGTGTGCCCGCTCTGTGCACATGCACAATGTGTCGGAGAATGTGTGGACGCTGTGCGTTCATACTGTGCCTCAAGAAGGATCTTGAACGCATGAGCAGGTACCACCTTGTGTTTTTACGTTATTGTGCGATGCCCAGCCGCAAAGAGTGGTCTGGGTTTTCATGGTCATTGTTCAATGAATTTATTTGTACCCCTTTTTTCTATTCACCTCCCGCCGCTTAGGAGCTGCATCTGCGCCTTGATCCTAGAGGGTGGTGGCGTTCCTGCGGATGCGGAAAACTCGGCTTTCAGCCGCGTCTCACGTGAACCGTGATTTTTTTCCTTTGAAATAGAATCCCCATTGAAATACATGTAACGTTATCGTCAACGAAATAATTAATCACAAGAATAGTATTTATTTTGCATACATCAACCAAATTCATCCTAGCTGCTCATGACTGCATCCAACCTTTGTTCCCAGGTATTTATCCACTGTTGCGGATTCTCGATGAAGGGCTGTGATGTAGCGCCTTGAATCTAGAACACTTCCGGGCAAAATGATCTGTCAAGTTTCCCTGAGCAAAGTGCTTGCGGTATGATGTCTGGCTTGATCACACTGTTCTGTGTGGGACTTTTATAAGCTGTTCGGAGTATGTAAGCCATGGCTAAAATGCTTAATCTGAATGATTTATCCCTCCTCAAACTTTAAAATGAAGAACTACTTGTACAATTGTCATGGTCAATCTGAAGAGATTTACGACAAGATTCTGTTGAAAACGGTGTGGTTGTCGCGATCAATTTCTAAATTCAGTTAGACGACCGACCTTGGGTTTATTTGGGTTATTGATCATCCCATGAGTTAGTGGCATGACGTCAGTATCAGGCAAACGCTTTCACATTCTCTCCCAACAACCACATGTAGTACCGACACTGCAACAGGTCCAATGCTAGTCCAGCAGGCCATTGCCTTACGTCTTGATACTTGCGCCACTATCCTGCTAAATCAGTTCTGATTAGACTTTCGACAAGACAAGTAGAAAAAATTTGAAGAGTGAAGTGCTGTACTAGTACATGATGTACTGTAAAACCGGAAAGTTAACGACCAAAAAGTTTAACGTTTTTGAAATTTTGGCATGATTACGTGCAAACAGTTTAACGATGGCTAGCTGGCCACCCATCTGTGTATATGCGCATCTTTATGCAGGCATCTAGCAATAAAGTTTTTTCAAATAACGAAAAAGAATTGGACGTTAAAACGTTAGACTTTGTGACTCGTAGTTAGACTTTCCGGTTTTACAGTATACTACTAACAGATCTGCAATGGACTACAACCAACGTCATACCGGTACTCAGAGTCATAGAGATTGGGTCCATAGAACTAACTAATTACTTGTTCTACATGACTGTAGTGGGATTTTTTCTTTTCTTTTTCTCTACAAAATCCGCATATCTCCAGACACTGGGGTGAAAAATGGAGTGTGGTGGTGGGGCCCATTAAGCTCCACCGACCAGAGATCTCGGCTTCATAGCTCCAAGGACGCACCAAAGGGAGGACTAATTTGAAAAAGAAAACAGAAGAAAGCAAAATGTGTAGCAGTGTACATGTATGTAGTGTAACAGTGTAGTGCTACTAATACTATAGACTATAGTGTTCTAGAACAGAATGTTGAGCAACCTGTACTGTACCGATACATAATACCCCCCCCCCCCCCCCCGGGCCCGTTTTGACTCTTGGTTTCGCACGCACGGAGACCTACCAAGTACCAGAAGCCTGATCCACGATTTCTGCTGAAAAAGTGTATGAAAAGAGAACCAACCAACCTGTAGACTACCAGAAATGTACTGACGTAGTGACTTGGTCGATTGTGTAGATTCTTGCTTACTAAAAAATTTAGATTCTCTTATCTTTCCCTGTTCCCATTCAAACTGACTTCGACTTGACAGTCGTGAGTGAGACTTCATTACTATTCGGAGAGCTTAGAATAGCTTTGGTCAGTATGCAGCATTATGCAGTAGTAAGCAGAGTCAAGCCGCGTTCCGTTGTGCCAGTGACGGCTTGTTTTGACAACAGATTAGAATCGCTTGCCGGGTGTCCTCCCCACTGACACTGTTTCAGTTCCTACTCCCCAAAATGTCATGCGTGGATAGCCGGACGTCGTCACGGCTCAAGCGTGCCAAAAGGCAGCGGCCAGAACAGTAACCATCTGCCGCCTTCAGGTGAATTTGAACACCAAGGTAATCAATCCCCTGGCACAGTGCGAACTTTGCATTTTTGGTACGGATTTTATGCAGCATCTAGATACCGACCGGGGTAGGAATGGTTCTCAAGAAAGTAGTTCTCCACCCATACAACTATACAAGACCCTTTTTAAAGTTACTGGGTAGGTCAGATGAGGGATTTATAATTATAACAGTTCACCAGTGTTGCCCGATAATTATACAGTCAGATGGTGCTGCGGACCTAGCATTTCCCAGGCGCGTGCTCGGCGATGGGCACGGGGGGCACGTGCACCCCCCAAAAATTTTCAATCTGGGTAATTGCAATTGTAATGTATGCAAATATGCTCTAAAACCAAGAAAGGTTGCAAACAAATTGCAGAAAATTGCCGGGGGGGGGCTCCCCTCGGCTCCCGTGCACCCCCCTAGTTGGGGGGCCGAGCACGCCCCTGTTTCCAATGTGTCAACCAGCAGCCATCCAGAAACAGTTTGTATCTTGTGTTTGTTTGACGGTGGGTCTAAGCTTGCGTATCAACGGCTTTCCTTGTGCGTGTCTTCTCCTCTGGTGCTCCTAACCATGAGCCTTTCCAGTTGCAGTACTCTAATTTCAGAAATTTTCGGTGCTCAATATTTTCGGTATGAGGGAAAAAGGCCAGGTTAGGTGAACAGAAATTTTAGGTACGGAGAAGCAGTTCCCTGTACAGAGAAGCAGCTCCCTATTGGATTATGTGTGTTTGCGTTTGTTCGGTGTATTGAAAATTTAGGTGTGAAACAGATGCACCGAAAGTAGAGAAAACTATAGTACACCGAAAATTTGGGAAAATGCAGTGTACTTGGAGGCTGGTTCCTGTACTGGGCATATTGTGTCCGGGTGTCAGGCAGTTGAATGTATTGCCACTCTCTGTCACTCATGTGCATGACCGTCGCATTATCTGACTATAGTGGTGGATGGTATGCCATCCCACAAATTACAACAAAATATTCCATCCAATTCACGGAGCCGTGGAGGGTTTTGAGACAAAGTGCATTCAGCCGTCCGTAGACTTCGCCTTCACAGTGTAGATTTTGCCTTCAAACGCTGCTAGTGTTGAGTCAGAAAGTCGTGTGTCCCACTTCACGTTCTGTTTCAACTGCACTGGGTGCTCAGTGAGGGGCATGTGTCTAATGGAAGCACGTGTGGCGTTGCCCCTTGACATTTTTTGGAATTTTCTATGAAATTTTCTATTTCACATTTTTTGAAATTTTGGGTACATTTCAGCGTGTCAACCACCTTGTGTTTAGAGAGCTGGGTATGATTCCCATTACCGTACCTGTAGCTGTCCATCCAGGGTGTACATATCGTTCTCAGTTTCTAAAACGAAATTTGTACGTATCGTACCCCTGTTTGTGTGTTCTGCAGGAATCTCACCGTCCAAGCATAATTGCGCTGAACGGGATAGCAGACACCACCTCTCACTGAGTGCCAGTTGACAACGTGTGCAGCTGGTGAGGTGTCAGGGAACATCTTCCTTGTTGCACCTTTGCAACCCGCAGAGCTGGAGCCATGGAGAATAGGTCAGTGACGCAGACCAATTCCGTATCTTCACGACGATCACTTCCCCCGTGACCACTTCTGTAACTTTATCTTCACCAATGTCACTTCTCGTGCCGGAAAATATCCATTTCAGGATCATCTGAGGTGTCGGCCATTCTACCTAGCCATGCCAAGCTCCACAGTGAGCGCTAATTGAAACAGGGAGAACTGAGGAAGCCCCTAGAAGGAGGAGATAGGTAAGAATGTGCATTCCGCTAGAAACCACTGCTGTGGCGCTTGCAACCCATTGCATATGAAGGGTAATGGTCCTCTCTCTCACGCTAATTGCCTAAACATTACCACCCTCCAGACGTAAACTACTTCATATCCGGATGGCTAGGTGCCTGGTCATTCTGCGCACCAGCACACCCTTGCCGTGTGCTGTATCTTCTGCTACTCCCCTGTTTGTTCTCTCACTATGCGTTCCCGTTGTTGCGTTGTCACTCCCCCTGGAGCTTGGATACATGTGCATTGGCCACGTCAGCCTGCCATTTAATTCTTGAGAATTTGTGAACAACTATGTACTGGGACAACAACAACAAAAACGTGCTTTGCCTTACAAAATTGCTGCCCGTACATCGAGGACAAAGGTAAAAATTGCTGATTTGCTTGCCGTGATACAGTCTCAATGAAAGTTATGGTGACTTCCCATCTTTTAGAATAGTAATGCCTGGGATGATGACTTCAGCAAACTGTAATCCATCAAAGTTTCCTAGGGGTACCAGTAGCCTTATAATATATTTTTCCTGCCGTTTCGCTCTTGAACTCTCCCAAGAATGCGGCATCCTTCATCAATATTCTGAGCCAAAACGCTTACTTGCTAGAAACGAAGTTTCTGCTGTATTTCACATAGAAAGTATTAATTCTCTGTTAGATAAACTTTCATGGCTTTTGACTGATCCGTCAGTTCTGGTGGGTTGAACTCTGATGAATCGCCACTAAAAAAAACATAATATCCACTAATAATTGTCTTGAAGTATTTTTTTGTGCCATCAAACCAAATTTGTGGTTTTGGTTTACGAAATTATTTGTAGGATTCTCGAAAAGCAACAACTGTATGCTTATCACAGGACTATCCTATTCCTATACAAGTATAGCGAGAAAACAGGGGGGGGGGGGGGGGGTAGAGGGAAGAGGAGAAGAAGAGTAAGAATTTCTTCAGCACAATTCCTACCTTCCATTGTGAATAATGAAAGTCACGAAGTTTTGGTTTGTAGAGGCAGTACTGTATTGAATTCCTTTGTAAATCGCAGTTTCCTGCGTGTCACACTTGCTTTGTAAATCGCAGTTACCAACATGTCACACTTCCTTTGTAAATCGCAGTTTCCTTCGTGTTACACTTCCTTTCTCCAGGAGATTCCCTTTGATAGGCATCCATTTCCCCCTGGAGAATCCTTGAAAATATAATAATATCAATCAGCCAATCACCACTGACCGTATGTTTTCATTGTGCTAGTTGTGTGTATACCCATGCTACATGCATGTATGCTTACCCAGTCAACTACATGTAAGTCGTCTCCCCCCCCCCCCCCACACACACACACAAACATACAAACAACCACACACTGCCTGCTTTGGAGGCATTCACCCCATGGGGAATCTGTGTTGATGGGAGCAAATCAACTGCTATAAAGGATTCCATGCCAGGTTGAAAGCACTACACTTCAACAGATAAAGTGCCTCATTATCCTTTCATTGCTGATCTTCACAGCATGCTGAAACTAATTAGCAGTTACATCTAGCTTGGCTTCCTTCCTGTTCAAATGAGTGCTGATACGTTTGCATAAGGTCGGAGTTATTAAGGAGGGGTCTGTGGGCACTTTCTGCTGCTCAGTGCTGTCTGTTGCCCTGCCCTGATATAGATCGTCTTAGAGATATTTTCTCGTGAATGTCGCGCAGAGCCTGATTGCGACTGAGGACGTGTGACAACCCTCTCAATCTACAGACATGGTGTTCAACTTACTATCCATCAT